TTAGGCAATACATCGCTTAAATTCACTCATTTCACACGGTTCACAACAGACCTGGCAGCAGCACCTCTTCTTAGTTTTAGGCATATAATCACATTAAAACTTGCCCAAAATATGATAATTTAATTTAGGGATAAACCTAACATGATGATATACCATTTTAGGCACAAAAACAAATCAAATCAAGGGAAAATAAAGCTGTAAACCCATGGCACATTGACAGCAACTGCAGCAGCGTTTTTAGACTCTCTAGGCCTAAAAACCATGATAAGATCAACCTATTCACATCTTAAACAACCTAAAAATGATCCCTAGTGATACCTTGACATAATCACTTCAAAATAGGCTAGAAACATTAGCCAAATATCATGATAAGCAGCCCCAAACTCACGCACAACCTCTATAGGAAGCAGCTACATTTCCTTTTGGATTAGCACATGTTATCACCCACAAAATCATTCATAAACACCATGAAAACATCATAGAAACATCACATAATAACTAGGCATAGATAACAAACTAAATTAAGCATGGAAGGAAGCAAAAACCTGTCAAACATCATTCATAATGTACGCATCATGTAAGTTGATTCGAAACCGCAACCGAAACTCAAACTACAATTCCTATAAACGCATCTAATCTCTCCTAAACCCAACCATGATTTCTAAAGTAATGGAAAAATGCTAGTTACCTTGATTGGAGAGCAAGAAAAAGCAGATTAAGAAGAGAGGAAAGATTGTAATTTGAATCCATCCGAGCCGCTCCAAAGTCACGCCTCTTGCTAGCCTTGATTGTGCTTGAATAAGAGGGTAAAATACAGCAGCAAGGACCCATGAAAATCCCTTGATGAATACAAGAAAATTTGAGGGAATTTGAGAGGAGAAAAGTGTTATGAAAGTGCAGCAAACTCACGCCCAAGAAGCGTTATTTTTGTACGTAAAAGGTAGGGAATATCAAGTGATTTGGACAGCATTTAATTGGTGATCGAATGAGATTGATTGAGGGTGTAATTAGGGGGTTACTAAGGTGGAAAACTGAGTAGCAACAAGCCCTTGTACAGCCGTGAGAAAGAGGAGAAGATGTGCTCAAGCAAACCATGTGATTACCACGCAAAGCCCTAGATTAAGGATGCTAATTGGACTAGTTTAGGAGGGTTAACTAAGGACTATCATGGGCTTAAGGAGAGCAAATAAACAAGGTTATACAAGCCTAATTGGACGGTTAATTACTAGCCCAAATTCTATCCCGAAACCAATCCTAATTGGCCCAAATTCAAGGAGAAGAAACGAATTAAGAAGCAAATAAAATACACATAAAATAACAACATTAATAATAATATCGATATTATCAACAACAGTAGTAATAAAAAGAAGAAGAAGAACAATAATAATCAATAATAATAATTTAATCAATACGCAAAATAACATATAAAGTTTATCTTTTAATCGAAATCAGGAAGAAAAGACGAAATAAGTAGTAGTTAATAATGCATATATATGTAATAATTTAATTAATATTAATATTATCAAAAACATCAAAATATTAGTACCAACTAATTAGAAGTTCGAAATTAAACAAAAATCAAAGTATTAGTGAAAAGTGCGCGTAAAACCTTAGTTTAAATTATGGGTTGTTACACATAATGATGCTGAAGGCAATATAAAACTTTAGAAGATAACATTTTGTGGTCAACCTAAAAAGAAAAGATTTTACGATGTAAATTCTAATAGCAACAAAACTTGTGTGAATCCCACTAATGGTGTATGCATTAGGAGTTAAGGACGACTGGACAAGTAATTCCTGTATAGCTTCATGGCATCAGAATTATAAGAGGCTACTGCTTACCCAGTATTCACACTAGCAACTATAACATTCATATTGAAGTCTTTGTGCAATGACCAGGACACAGGACAAGTGGGGGTGGGGGTGGGGGGTGGGGGATGGTACATCATAGCAACATTATGATATGACATAGCAACATAATACATCCACCACAAAAAAATGTACCGTTTGTTAGAACACACAAATTCTTAAAAGGTAGCAAGAGTAGTATAAACACTATAAATTTCTAAATTCCCACCGCAAAATTAACCTAAGCCTTGAATGATAGCAAACTTTCAGTATACTGAGAGGCCGAGAAGCATGAAAAGGAAGTATCTATAGAGTATATATATTTGGAAAATACATGTAAGCATTTACAAAAAAAAAGTTAGCATAATGAAGCAAGAGAATGCTATATACCTGGAGGCAATACAGCAAGCGGTGCAGGTGTCATCATGTCCTCAGTAAATGGCTCATCTTTGGGCTTTAACAAAATTGTATTAGGCTGTTTTTGCCTAGGATTAACAACTGGTTCAGCCCTTGGCTCTTTGATCTGGAGTGCTTGAGATGCCCGTTCAGGTGCAGTTCTTTTATCCCTCTGACTAACTTGAGGTGAAACAGGTTGTTTCCCCTTGTTTCGCGTAAACGCAACAGGTTGAGGAGATCCAGTAGGTTGGGTCCGCTGACCGAGAGAAACTTCTGACTCGCCAGGCTCCAGTTTAGGTGTCTTGAATGCACAAGCAGATGGGGGGCTATGCTGGCCCTGAGAAGGTGCATCTTGGCCTTGGTGTTTTAAGCGCAGCCTTTTCAATGGCCTCTCGGGCTCATCCTGCACCTCATCCTGCACTGGAGCTGCTTCCTCAAAAGCCTCCTCTTGCTAAATCAAATATAGCAAAAGAATACACTTTCAAGAAATTTTCATACAAATAATCCCCAAAAATAATACGTAAATGACAGCATAAGTAGCCTAATACATACATCAACATTTCCGGGTATCTTCTTTTTTTCTTTCTCTGCAGCCTAATACACCAACAAAGTAAAAACACATTAAGCCAGGCAAATTACTTAAATTAAGCTAGAGCAGTTAAAGGAAATAACAGGATAAACACCTCTGAATCCTCATATTCAAAGATAGTATCTGCAAGCACTCTATAATTTTCTTCTTCTATCAGATCCCAATTCTTGTCAAACAATTTTAAAAGCTTCTTCAGGGCAGGTTTTGTTTTTTCTTCGGGTATGCCTATATCTTTCATCGCTTTAAAGGCTGCCTTAACTTTACCAGGCGCCATCTTTAATCACAGGCTCCTCAAACTACTGAATAGCAATAATTAGAAAATGTCAAAAACCAAAGTAATTCTAACCAAATATGAACAAAATTGCAAAATTACATACTTTGCGACTTCTTAGCTTACAAGAAAAAAAAACAGTATGGAAGTATTCATGTTGCATCAACAAAAATCACCATAACAGCTGGATTGTTTAACGATGCAACATTCAAACAAGAATACATTCAATTTTAACTAATTCCTAAACGCAGATGAAACATGTCATCAATCAACCAATTTCATCTGCTCTAACATTTATAATAGCTTTCAAAATCCCAGGAAAAACCCTCAAGAAGCAAGCAACAATCATGCAACCAACGCACTTCAAATTTTCAAGCTACAAGACAGTCATTCACTCCTTCTATCCCAAAAAAGCATAAAAAAAATGATTCCTTTCTTGAATGTCCATTGTCAATCAAACATTATATCCAATTAACTTGGATTAGACTTTGATCTTTTCTATTTCTTGAAACATATTAACAAAATCTATAATTCAAACTACAATTATGAATAAATTCTCAAATATATGCATAACAAATTTCAATTCCGTTTAATGGCACAATATCATACCCTTCATAAATTATAAGTCAAAGTGATAAGTAATTTGGGTAAGAAAGAACAATTAGGGTATAATTTAACCCCAAATGATGAACAAAAAAAAATCACCACACCAAAATGTACTACATCTGTAAACATAAACCCACATCCCAGAAATTGCTGAAATTGAAAGGGTATATTTCTAAACTCAAGAAACTGGAAAAAAGATACCTTTTTTTTCCCTCATAAAATTTCAATTTGGGAATTTCAGAACTCAGAGAAAACCTGCAAAAATTATCAAAATAATTAAACAGAAAAGTCAAACAATTACCGTAAATTAGAACAGAAAATGGCGATACTTTCTCAAAAAATAAAAAAAATAAAAAAAAAATCAGCATGCAAGCAATTGAAACCATAAAACCCCAAAAATTAAACACAAATGTCGGAGAATCGGCCAACAAAACAAATTGTGGCACAAAAAATAGAAGAAACTGGGTAAAACTTACGAGCATTTGGGGAGCGGTTGAAAAGATTTTGGATGAAGACTGGAAGTAGTACAGTGAGAGTGTCAGTGGAGAGAGAGAAAGGGTTTTTGGGTTTTGGGAAGAGAGAGAGTGAAGAAAGAGAGGGAAACTGAAAGAGTTAATGGGAAGTTGGGTCTATTGCCAAAAATGCCAATGTTTTTTCTCTTCGTTTCAAATTTGATTATTTTTGCAGTGAGGTGGGTTGAATCAAAGGCTCAAAGCTGATTTTAGATGGAAATAATAAGATTACAAGTGTTTTACTACTAGACATAGCTTTCGCCCGTGTAGTAAAAATAATTATGAGTGTAATGTGTAACCGAAAATATATTTATAGAAATAAATTGTTGGGAATTTAATTCAAAATGAAATTAGGAAAATGGAAGGTGGAGTGACTAAAATTAAAGAGAGAAAAGAAAAAGGTTGCAATAATTCTTGCGTGCAACCGGCTTACAGTAAGTTTAATGTAAATCCTGATTGGCACGTGCCAATTGCAGTATAAATTGCGCTCAATTCTTCTTCTTCTTCTGCAAAACATCATCTTCTTCTTCGACGAAATATTCTCTCAAATTCTCTGCAAATTCTCTGCAAAACATCGATGGATTCTCTAATTCACAAATTATTACAATCTCAAAAACAAATTCAAGCTCCAATTTCAAACGATCTGCAAACTTCAGAAGAAATTGAAGTTGAGTCTGCAATTGATGTTGATTTAAACAATGATTTTATGCAACAAACACTAAATTGCAGGTAATGTGGCAATAATATTAACCTAGATAGCAAAATCGATGACAATGCAATGCATCAAAACCTCAATTCAGGTACGTAATTTTGTATATGAATTTCTACAAATTTACCAAAAATAGGTAAACTGGTGATTGATTGAATTACGATAAATGCAGATTCATATGAGAGTAGAGTTCATCTCGATGAAGAACAAATCTCAGCTGATGAAGTGCAAATCTCGGCGGATGAAGAGCAAATCTTAGCAGATGAAGATTCAACTTCTAAAGGTAACATTAAGCTTTTGAAAAGTTGCAGAATTGTTTAAATTAAAGTTTCTGTTTAATATTGAAAAGTACAAGTAAAGTTGAAATTGCATACTTGGTTCATCTCGATGAAGAACAAATGTCAGCTGATGAAGTGCAAATCTCGGCGGATGAAGAGCAAATCTCAGCAGATGAATTCAACTTCTAAAGGTAACATTAAGCTTTTAAACAGTTGCAAAATTGTTTAAATTAAAGTTTCTGTTTAATATTGAAAAGTACAAGTAAAGTTGAAATTGCATACTTGTTTAATTTATAGTAACTTTAAGAAATAGAAGTGTAACTTTAAGAAATATAAGTGTTGTTTTGTTTATGGCTTAAAAGTTATAGTTATTATTGTTAAAGTTACAAAATATGGCTTAGAAGTTATATTATATAATTTAATAAAATAGTGAAATTAGTGATAACACTGTCAAAGTTACCTGATATGGCTTAAAAGTTACTGTATTTCTGAATTATAGTTACACTTTTTTCATAAAACTTAAATCTACTATACTGTTTGAATTGCAGTCATTGAAACCAATATTGATGTTGGGAGAACACTATTAGGCATCAGAACAAAAACCTTTGAAGAAATGCATGAGATTTACAAAAAACATGCATCAATTGTAGGATTTTCAGTAAGGAAACATACAGGTAGGACTAGGGATAAAACTGAAAAAGTTATTGTGGAGAAATACTATGTTTGTTCTGCACAAGGTAAAACAAATATTGGGGAAAGAAAAAAGAAAAAATAGAAGCAATTGTGGAGAATGTTAGAAAAGAAAAAAGAAAAGAAAACCAAGGCAAGTTCCTATCACAAGAACAGATTGTAGAGCTTGTATAAGAGTCAAGATGAATGAGGATGGATTGTTTGAAGTAATACAACATGTTTGGTACATAATCATGAACTCACAAGAAAACAATGGCACTATCTTCATCGATCTGAAAGAGAAATGACAAAAGAAAAGGGACAAGTAATAGAAAACTTGCAAAAGTCAGGACTTCAAGCTATGGACTCAAATCGAGCTATGTGCAGTGAAGCTAGAGGTGAAGAAAACTCGGGACACACAAATAAAGACCATCTGAATTATTGGACAAGGTTGAAAATGAAAAATATTGAAGGTGGTGATGCACAAGCAGTCTCTGAAATAATGTACCAGGAACTTGCTAATGATCCTGAATTTTTCTTTAGATTTAGATTGAATAAAAGAAGGCAAGTTGAGAGCACTATTTTGTAGAGACTCGATGATGAGAGAAGATTATAGTATTTATGGAGATGTTGTAGTGTTTGACACTACATATAGGACAAATAGATACAATTTGATATGTGCTCATATTGTTGGAATTAATAACCATTGGAAAAATTGCATGTTTGGGTGTGCTTTTATTGGAGATGAGAAAATTAAATCATTTGTATGGCTTCCTGAGACATTCAAAAAGTCAATGGGAGGGAAATGCCCATTCTCAATCTTCACAGACCAAGATCAAGCAATGTGCTCTGCAATACAGAAGGTAACATTTAAAGCTATACATAAAGGTGTTAAAGCTACCTTGTTTCTATTGTGTAATTACCTTTTTTTTCTAAAAATATATCTGATTATAATTCAGGTCATTTTAGAGGTCACGCATAGATTATGTATATGGCATTTGGAACAAAATGCTATTACAAGATTTGGATCATTGAAACGAGACAAGGATTTTAAGAGAACATTCTCCTACTGTTTGAAACGATGTGTAACTGAAGTTGAGTTTGAAACTGTATGGAACTCAATGATTGAGAAGTATAATTTACAAGAAGATAGTTGGTTCCAAAGAATTTATGATCTAAAAGAAAAGTGGTGTCCAGCTCTAAGCAAAGACTTCTTCTCAGCTGGTATCCTCTCTTCCCAACGAAGTGAAAGTACCAATCATGCAATTGGGTTTAGAGCAAATAGATCAACAAGCTTGACTGAATTCTATAGCATTTTCAAAGCTTGTATACAGCGTTGGAGAAGCACGGAAAAATATGATGAGTTCTCGTGTAGTAAATCAATTGCATCATCAGCAATGATTAGGGGATTTTGCTCCCACCAATCGGAATGCGCCACGTGGGCCAATCAGGTCCTGCCAAGTGTCCCCCAGTTGGACCTCTCAGGGCTTGCCACGTGGCACACGCTTATTCGTCCACCCTGGACTTATTATGTCATGACACGTGGCATACTTCATGCCTAATGGAGAAGCCGGTCACCTAGGCCCAACCTCCGAGGGAAGCCCAATCAGCCCAAGGTTAACCTAAACCTAGATTGGCACGTTTCCCGATGTTATAAATACCTCCCTTAATCCTCATTAAGGGAGATAACGCAGATTACACACATTAAACACTCTCACCTAGAGAGACCCAATCACTTTAATTTCCGCATTAATTACTCCTTAATCAAGTACTAACTTGACCGTCGGAGGCGGATCTCCAATCATCCGGAGCATCCGTTTGTTTTGCAGGTACATGCGTCCGGTTCCAGTCTCGGAATTGTAACTCTCCCGCAGGACATCAGAAAACCCCGAAACATTTTGGCAACAAAGACAATATCAGACAGTTAGATGTAAATTCCGTTCACCAAGAACGGCCCTCCAAATATTCATTTCCTGAGATTGTCATCACTGAAGAAGATCTAGGAGGGGTAAGAGGGCCGCATGACGACCCTATCGTTATTGAATGTAAAGTGGCCAACCAGAGAGTTGGCCGAATCCTCATAGATACCGGAAGCTCCTCAGATCTCATCAGTAGCAAATGTCTGTCGAAACTAAAATATCAAACTGATTGCATACATCCGGCATCCCACCCTTTAGTAGGGTTTGGAGGAGGAGTCGTCCACCCAGTGGGACGAGTGGATTTACCCATCCGCCTGGGCGAAAAAGGGGAAGGACGACACATGGTAGTCCGGTTCCTGGTAGTAGAAGAACTCTCGGCCTACAACATGATTCTGGGACGACCAACCCTGAATAATTCCAAGGCTGTTATAATCCCATCTCTTATGTTGCTCAAGTTTGAGAGGGATAATGGAACAGTCGGGTCCCTAAGGGGAGATCAGAGGATGGCCCGAGAGTGCTATCTCTCGGATGTCAAGCCCACTGTTATGGCCACTGGGTCGAGAGGTGGAAAAATAGACCTTGACAATGTCAAAGAGAGTGCGCCTGTTCAAGAAGCAGGCGGCAAGAAGAGAAAGGCATCCCAGACAAGGGCCGCAAGAAAAGACAGAAAATAGCAATCATTGGCAGAGGAGCGGTCGGATGAATTCCGCCCTCAGCCAACTGGTGAGCATACGGACCTGATCTTAGATGACTCGCGTCCTGACAGAACAATCAAGGTTGGGACGACTGCTCTAAGGGACCTGGGTGACGACTTTCACAAACTATTGAAAGAATACAAGAACATCTTTGCATTCGAAGTCCATGAAATGCCAGGCATTAGTCCTGATCTGGCGGTACATAAACTGGCCGTGGATCCGAAAAAGAAGCCGGTACGGCAGAAGAAGCGGAACCATGGCGAAGAAAGAAGTCAGGCGGCAGCCGCCGAAGTTAAAAAATTACTTGATGCAGGGTTCATTCGGCAATTTACTTCCCAGACTGGGTTGCAAATGTGGTGCTAGTTAAAAAGCCGAATGGCACCTGGCGAATGTGTGTATACTACACAGACTTAAACAAGGCGTGCCCCAAAGACAGTTACCCTCTGCCTAAAATTGATAACCTGGTCGACTCAACAGCCGACCATGCTTTGATGAGCTTTATGGACGCCTACTCTGGTTTCCATCAAATTCCTTTATGGAAGAAAGATCAGGAGAAGACGACCTTCGTCACTGATCAGGGGTTATACTGTTACACGGTCATGCCGTTTGGTCTTAAGAATGCCCCGGCCACTTTCCAGCGAATGATAAACACTGTGTTCTTTGATCAGATTGATGATATGATTGTCAAGTCTAAACTTCAGAAAGATCATCTGTCGGACCTCCGAGAAACTTTCGCCACACTCAGGCGGCACCATGTCATGCTCAATCCCAGGAAATGTTTCTTTGGAGTTGAGTCTGGGAAATTTCTCGGATTCCTTATCAATCAGAGAGGAATAAAGGCGAACCCTGAGAAGGTGCAGGCGGTCATCGACATGCAGTCGCCTCGTACCATCCGAGAGGTTCAGAAGTTAACAGGTTGTCTGGCGGCCTTGGGAAGATTTCTAAGCCAATCAGGCGACAAATGCCTATACTTTTTCCAGACAATTAAGAAAAAGGCAAGGTTTGAATGGGGGCCGGATGCTGAGGCGGCCTTCTAGAAATTGAAAGTTCACTTGCATTCCTTGCCGAGGCTGGTCAGCCCTTTGCCCAAAGAAGTACTCTACATGTACCTGGCCGTCTCTGATCATGCGTTAAGCGCTGTTCTCTTTGCTGAAAGAGACGGATGTCAGCTCCCGGTCTACTTTGTCAGTCACGTACTGAAAAATGCTGAGTTGAGGTATCCCTTAGTGGAGAAATTTGGTCTTGCACTCTTCATGGCTGTTAAAAAATTGAAGCCCTACTTTTTGGCACATGCAGTCGTCGTGTATACAGACCAACCTATCAAGTGGCCACTGACCATCATGGAGTCGTCAGGCCGAATGATCAAATGGGCCATAGAAATACAGAGCCTCGAAGTTACCTTCGAGCCTAGAAAAGCAGTGAAGGGGCAAGCCTTTGCTGACTTTATTGTTGAGATGACTCGTCCTCCTGACTCTCAAGTTCCAGACCAAGTCTGGAAGGTATATGTGGATGGAAGCTCTACTTCAAATGGTTGTGGAGCAGGCGTCATATGTCAGTCGCCAGAGGGCGACAGGTACGAGTATGCTCTACGCTTCAGTTTTCAGGCCTCAAACAATGAGGCAGAATATGAAGCTTTACTAGCCAGAATCCGCATGTGCAAGGCGGCAGGGGCAAGAAAAATAGACGCCTGTTCCGATTCACAATTGATAGTGAGTCAGTACAATGGCGAATACGAAGCAACCCATCCGGCCATGATCAAGTATTTACAGGCGGTCCGACAAGCAGTCGGCTCCCTTGAGGATTTCCATCTGACCCAAGTGCCGAGATCAGAAAACAACCAGGCGGATGCACTTTCAAAATTAGCATCATCCGCCTCTTGTGATACTCCTCGAACTGTTTTTTGGGAAGTAATGGAGAAGAGAAGCATTGAGGAAGACCCTATTGGAATCTTAGACAGAAGCTCAACCTGGATGGATCCAATCAGGGCATATCTGACAAATGGTACCCTGCCGGATGATCATCAACAGGCGGCAGCACTGAAAAAACGAGCAACCAGTTTTGAAATAATAAAGGGAGAACTTCACAAAAGGGGGTACCTTCAACCCTTCTTAAAGTGTGTTACTCCAGAAAAGGGGCGAGAGATACTAGATGATCTTCACTCTGGTTACTGTGCTTCCCATATAGGCGGTAGGACGCTTGCTCAACGGGCAAGGCGGCAGGGCTACTTTTGGCCTACTTTAGAAGCAGATGCGATGGAGATGGTGAAAAAATGTGACAAGTGCCAAAGGTTTGGCAAACTAATTCACCGTCCGGCTATTGACCTCACTACCATTCATAGCCCACTACCGTTTGCTAAGTGGGGCATGGATATTCTGGGTCCATATACGCCTGCTACAGGCGGAAGGAGGTACATACTTGTTGCCGTCGACTACTTCACTAAATGGGTAGAGGCGGAGGCTGTAAAGGGAATCAAGACGAAGGATGTAATTTCATTCATTTGGAAAAATGTCATCACTCGGTTCGGGGTTCCCATGTCTATGGTTTTTGATAATGGTCCCCAATTTGAGACGCCTGTTCTCAAAAGCTGGTTGGGTGACCAAGGAATTGCACACTACTTTGCATCTGTCGGCCGTCCACAAGCAAACGGCCAGGTAGAAGCCTTTAATAAAATCATCTCAGACGGTCTCAAGAAAAAGATTGAACGAGCAGGCGGCCTATGGGCGGATGAATTACCACATGTTCTCTGGGCCATTAGGACGACTGAAAAAGGGGCGACTGGAGAAACTCCATTCCTCCTAACTTATGGTGCGGAAGCTGTTCTTCCAATAGAACACTACGAGCCGACTCTTCAAGTAATGCTATATGACGAAGAGGCAAACTGGGAAGCCATGCGTCTGGCATTAGACTCACTTCCTGAAAGGAGGGGCAATGCTGTCTTGCGCCATGAAATTTACCGCCTGAGAATGACTAGATCATACAACAAAAAAGTACACAGGCGTCCACTCAAAGTGGGGGACTTTGTACTTAGAAAAATGGAAGCAGTTGGAAGGGCTAATGAGTCTGGCAAACTAACTCCCAACTGGGAAGGACCCTACCGAATCTGTGAAGAGGTCAGGGACGGTACCTACCGTCTGGAAACACCAGACGGCCAACCGTTGCCTCGAACTTGGAATGTAGATAATCTTAAGAAATATTTCTTTTGAATGATATAAATAGTCAAGGGCTACTTAATAAAAGTTTGCATACTTAATATTCAATTTTGTACTAAGAGGGGCACGCCTACTAACAAACAGTCGGCTACTCTCCATACTCAGTTTTCATTTTTACTTAAGAGGGGCATGCCTACTGACAAACAGTCGGCTACTCTCCATGTTTAATTTTTATTCTTACTTAAGAGGGGCAGGCCGCCTATACATTTACAGTCGCCTACTCTCCATTGAGTATTTCACTTTATCATCAGAGGGGCATGCCGTCTGTACCTTTACAGTCGGCTACTCTCCATTGAGTATTTTACTCTATCTTCAGAGGGGCATGCCGTCCGTACCTTTACAGTCGGCTACTCTCCATTGAGTATTTTACTCTATCTTCAGAGGGGCATGCCGCCTGTACC